CGCCGCACCCTCCGCGCCGCCAGCCCCGCTCCGCGCGCACTCGGTACCTGAGAATTTCACTTCAGCACTGCGGATCCTCTGAGTCTGGATATAATATTCTCTTTACTCCTAGTTGTAGAATTTCCACTCAGCCAGCCCTCCTGTGGCTCTGGATGTTGTCCTTTCCCTGGATCAAGCTTAATTTGAATTGGTTGTTCAAGGCAGCAATCTCTGGTGTTAACCTATGCCGCCATCTTCGGTTCTCTATCGTGTCCTGGGTTTTAAGCCCTTGGGATTTCTACTTACTTTTTCTGAATAAATTAGAGCAACGAATTAGTCAGAAGCCCTACATTAAATGCTTACTGAGCCCCAAAACCAGATTAGAAGACTACTACTAAAAGTATTTCACTATAAAATGTGCATTTAAATTTTTCTGTTAATGTTCTACACACATCCTCAGGGTGACGGAGAAAAAAACACATTTTAAAACAATAGCCAAACTGGTATACTATTCTCTATAACTCTTTTTTTTCTCAGTAGAGGGGGTTAATGAAGATTCATTAAATCCTTCTAAAAACTGTAGCTAGAAGCTATAATTTAGTTACTAGCCCAGTTGATAACATCTCCATTCACTATACAAGTTTCCTTGAATATTTCCCATGTGTGATTCAAAACAACCTTAAATAATTGCACCTTTTAAAATTTTTCACTTCATTTCCACCTTTCATATTGTCTGTCAGCCAGTGGTGGAAACAAGTAAATCTTATACTTATTGAACTTCTTAGAGTTTGTGAAAACCACTGTAGACGTTACAAGCTGTGTTTCTGCCATCTCCGCTCGCACTGTGCTTTCCGCTGTGTGATGTTCGCGGTTTCTGTGGTGCCAGTTGAAGACAAACACTTTTAAAAGCTGAAAGCAATTAAAGGATCCCAGAATAGAAGTCACTTAATTATGTGTCACCATCAATTCCCCAACTGCCGGTTCAGAAATTTTTAAAAAATACATCACCAGTTAATTAGCTTATCATGTTAAGTAAATAAACTAAAATAGAAACTCTATTGTAAGGCATTTTCTGAGGGGAAGAAAACTTCTAAATGGAATCTTTACTGGGAAGAGGTTATCAGGCAAAGAAAGAAAGAAATGAAACCCCGATAAAATGTAAATTGCAATGATAATTATCACTAAAACAGAAGGATTCAATTCATCTGCCTGAAATTTCTGGGGAAGTTACATTATGCAAATATAATTTATTCTGATCTCTTCTACCATTGGCGTGCCTTTGGCCAAGTTTGATGTTCTGGTTTTTACCAATAGCACATGCTTCATGATCTTCCTCTTTGGAATCACTCACGTTTATTTCATTTGATTGCATCATAATCCTGAGACAACCCTAGATAATAATAGGGATTATAATTAGCCAGCTGGTTTTCACACAGCCAGGAAAAGGTAAATCCTTAAGACTCTAGACCAGGTGTGCACACTCCTGCTCCACCACCTCCCACCTCCCCTGAAGCTGTTAAGCCTATAATTAGCTCCTCCCTAGAACCCTACAGTCCTGGGAAAAGGCACCTTTGTTCTCAGGTGCCAGCAGGGAAACAGTCCTTGCCCGGACGGACAGCCTTTATGGTGGGTTTACACAACGGTTACCTGTAGTCCACAGAGAACTGTCCTGGCTTTCTTTTTCCCTTCGAAAGTAGAACATTTGAGATTTGGGGAAGGTTTTGGGACACTCCTTAACCACCTCTCTGCCACTGAGGGTATATAGTAACAAGGGCAAAATAACTGTAGAGACACCTGCTCCTGACCCCTGAGCTTCACAACCAGCCCAATCCAGACCAAGAAAAATGCTATGGATGCATATGCCTGCACCCTGGGGCGTAAGTGGGAATTCCAGGAGAGCACCTTTACTTCCTTTTTAATTCCTGAGCCATCTCCCAGGTAGCTAAGGTCTATCCCACTTAAGCTCTTTTAAAGATAACAGTGGTTCTGAGGAGATACATATATAGTCTAAATACAGTAGACAACTCCTCCCTCAGTGCTGTGGTGCAGTCTTGCATTTACAGGAGACAGGGTAGGCCAGTGCCCCAGGTGATAATGTTAAAGGCCTTTTGGAGTCTGTCTCCTGTCCCAGAGGAAAGATGAACTCCTGAAACAACCTTGTAGCCTCAGGGACTGGGGGCCTGGGGCTCCCAGGAGCAGACACTGCCTCAGTCAGCCAGACCTCACACGTCAATGGAAATGTCATCTCTATTGTGGCTGCCTGTCCAGAATAATGCTGTTGTTGCTTTGTTGAAGGACAAGAAGCCAGCTCTTGGTCATCAGGACCCAGGAACCCCCAAGGTCCATCACCGTCCGAAGTCCAGCATGCCACCACCGCCTCCCATACGGCGGTCCTCGGATACCAGCGGCAGCCCAGTGATACCCGCCAAGGCCAAGGGCACCGGCTTCCCGGCCCCACCCGATGACTTTTTGCCGCCACCGCCGCCGCCCCCACCTCTGGAGGACCAAGAGCTCCCGCCACCACCCCCTGATTTTAACGATGCGCCCCCAGACTTTGTGCCTCCCCCTCCGCCGTCATTTGTAGGGGATGCGGAGTCATTACCGCCCCCTCCTCCGCCACCACCCGCCCTGGCACCCGAATCCCCGAGGCCGCCCCCCATTGCCACCAAAAGGCCTCCCATTCCCCCAAAGAGGCAAGAGAACCCAGGACCACCCAGCGCGGGGGCAGGAGGGGGCGGGGAGCAGGATTTCATGTCAGATCTCATGAAAGCTTTGCAGAAGAAAAGAGGCAACTTGCCCTAAGGGAAACATACAGATATCTTTGTGTGATCGGTATAATCACTTCTAACCACAGATGTAGCTTTCTTTATTGTCATGACAGCTTGATCATTTTAGATAAAATATTGAAGTATTCTGACTAGAAATGATGTAAAACATTTCACTGTTCTCAAGTACATTCATAACTATTAACCTAACACGGAATTTAGAATACCTGTGTACATGTACATATCTTTCCTGTGACTTCCAAGTCAGTGGGATGTATCTTGCTTTCCAAGTTAACCAAAATAATGTTTTATGTTCATTTATTTTATGATGTTCAGAGCATCAAATTAATAAAAGTTTAAATTTTTCCCCCAGAAGATGGTATTTCTAGAAATATCAATGTATGAATCTAATGCAATATTCACACTTTTAATAATATACTTGATCTTTTAAAAAGAGCTTTACAAATCCCACACCTTCTAAAGCAAGCACGTCACACTCAAAGGCTAACACGGGCCAAATAAGGTTTAAGTTTATGTGGGCCGCAAAAAAACAAAAGCTTCAATTTTCATAGAAACGTAGGTTTATTTCTATAGAGACATGCTGAATACAAAAGGCTGGAATAAATGAGTAAGAGTTAACATAAAATAATAGAACATTTTAATAAAAATTAATATTTTTTCTTGAACATTAACTTACCAGACACTGAATAACTGCACAAATTAATAATTGTAACGCAAATAAACCTATTTTTCTTGTTCTCCGAAAATGAAATATTTTCTGTTGCGCACACCAAACAAGTCAGTCCAAGACTAATGACGTGGCAATTGGCTGCTAAAATATTCGCTGCTAGTATTAGGGGAGAAATGAAGCGAGGAGAAGGCTTCTTGTCCTTGCACAAAGCACGTAAGAGAAATGAATGCAACACGATTATAATAATCAGTCATTAGCAAACGCTGTAGTTCATTAATAATTATGTATAACAGGATATTATAAAAATTAAGTTATGAAATTTTTATTAAAACGTTTCTTACATACCATTATATTGGCTGGGCCACAAAAATATTTGTTGTGGGCCGTATGTGGCCCATGGGCCACAAGTTTGATATGCTCGGTCTAGTCTTGATGCATATTTTCTGCCTTCACCTCCATGACTTTCAGAATTTTCAGAAAAGTGAAAGGGGAAAATTCTCTAAAACAGAACCTCATTGGCCTGGGGTGAGTTAAGGGTCATTCCTTGTCAAATCATTTGCAGCTGAAACTTGACAAAAGCGGTACTGGGACTCATCACTGTGGATTAAGAGAACCCAGAGAATACACCTGGGTGCTGGGAAGGGAAAGGGAGAGATGGTTGTCATGGGCTTCAAGGAAGACCCAATAAAAACAAAGTGAGCTTCCCTCCCCTGCTTCTTCCTCTGGGAGCATACAAAACTGACATGCTTTGAATATTGTGAAGGTTCTGTTGACACTTTGAACATATAATGCTTATTTTAGTCATTAAAAGGTTTATTACAAAAATAAACCGAGGAAGACATCGGGCCTGCAGATGTACTTAACCTAGATCCCCCAGAGCTGAATGATAGCCGCGTCTCCTAATGTCTCCACAACATACCCTTCCTTCACAGGGCAAAAGCAATAAAAAATATTGGGTTTTGATCCACTCTAATAATTTCTGCCTTTTAATTGGTATGTTTACAACATTGCTGTTTAAATTGATTACTGACATCATTGGATTAACATCTACCATATTTGGTAGTTTTCTACTAGATGCCCTTGTTCTTTGTTCCTATATTTGTCTTCCATTCTTTTTCTGCCTTTTGTGTTTTAATTGAGCATTTTATTTTAATTTAATTTATAGGGGTCTCCCTTATACCCTGGTCCTGGAACTGGTCACAGAGTGCACCCTTCACTCAGGGAGAAATGCAATTCTGTAGGGCCAGTTCTTGGGCTCACAGACAATGTGCTCCACAACCTGACACCAAGGGCAAAGAGAGGTGCATTATGGAAGACTAAGGGGAGGCAACCAGTCTCCATAATTGTTTTTCTGTCTGAAATGCCCACTGCCTGACAACCACAGCACACTCCTGTGCTGTGTGTCCTTGCTCAGGTCTCTTGGTTCAGCCACAGCTCATACTCCTCACTCCTGCTGGAGTGCCCACCTAGTCCCTTTGCTACTCCTAGCTGAGAGAGTGTCAGCCATCACAAGATTCCTCCCCTCTCCAGCAAAGCCCTGCTCGCTGGAAGCTACCCATTGTCTACACTATCATGAAAGTGCAGCAGGGAACACAGAAGGATGATGGACCTTGGGCTTTAGCAAGGGCTAAAAGTTATGCACCAATTGTTCTGTCGAGACAATGGTGGCTCTAGGCAATCCCCTAACCTGATAATCTTTTACTGTTTACCAAAACTTACCTTTGATATGAGTGTCTGCTTTGCTAAAGGGCAAATGTGTATTCTAGTAAATAAAAAGCTGTGGGTCCTGAGATTCAAGGAACCTCTTCGCTAGAGAGTAAGGTCTTCACCTGACTCTCCCCATGCCTTCTAAATTTATATTTCTTGTCTAGTGTATCCATTTATGCACAGCCCCTTCTCCAGATCCTGAATCCTTGCTGCAAAAGGTTGCGGCACCTGCTGTGAGCTCCCAGCTGCCAGGCTGCATCCTTGGCTCTATCAGCCACTCTCCCTTTTGGGTTTCCCTTTTTGCTCCATTTACCCACCTTCAGATGTTCCAATGTGTGGCTCTCTCCAGTGTATTTTTGTGCTGAGCAGGGTAATCCTTTGTTGAGTTATAACTGTTCAAATTGTTAAAACTTCAAGGTGAGAGGCCCAGAGGATCTCATACTGCCATTCCTGACATCACCTGCCAAAGAGCTAAGCATTTTATATGATTCTATTTTCTTTCCTTTTTTAGCACATTCTAAAGAAAGAATATATATATTAATAATGTTAACATGTTAATAATTATATATATATATAATTCTAAAGAAAGAATTATACTTCTTTCTTTACATTGCTAGTAATTTATTTCAGGGATAAGTTAAGAAGTATAAAGGATGAACCTGAAACATCGTACACACCAGAAAACAAGGAAGTTATCAAAAACTTTTAGGATTATGTCTAAAGGAGCCAATATGGGACACTTTGTACATCAGTAAAGATAATAAATGCAATTGTATAAAACATAAAATATGCTTAAATTCAAGAGTTGATACTGACACTAACATGCTTGGGAACCCACTCGTTAGTTTGCCTTTCTGTATCTCAGGATAACCAAATAACTAATGATACAAAGTTTTCCTTTTTAGAAGGATTCCTAATAAATGAGCGATAGGATTAGATTGTCATCAACAACCTTATTGAATCAGTGGGTCAAGGTGATTGTCAATGGTACTGATATTACACAAAGAGACCTGGTGGAAGTACATAACATTTTGCTTCCTGATAGCAAGTATTTCTATCAAATATGAATCTGAATCAAGCTCTAGATTTATAGAAATACTAGGGGCCCAGTGCACAAATTCATGCACCTTGAAAGGAATTGTGGGCTGCACGGCTGCGGTAGGCACAGGGGCGGGTCTTGGCCCATCATCCTCTGTGCCCCTGCCTGTTCCCTCCCACCACGGCCCAGTCTCCTGTCTGCCGGCAGACCCACTCCCACCACTGCCACTTCCACCCACTGACGGCGCCCGCCCCGCATAAAATATGCTTAAATTCAAGAGTTGATACTGACACTAACATGCTTGGGAACCCACTCGTTAGTTTGCCTTTCTGTATCTCAGGATAACCAAATAACTAATGATACAAAGTTTTCCTTTTTAGAAGGATTCCTAATAAATGAGTGATAGGATTAGATTGTCATCAACAACCTTATTGAATCAGTAGGTTAAGGTGATTGTCAATGGTACTGATATTACAAAAAGAGACCTGGTGGAAGTACATAACATTTTGCTTCCTGATAGCAAGTATTTCTATCAAATATGAATCTGAATCAAGCTCTAGATTTATAGAAATACTAGGGGCCCAGTGCACAAATTCATGCACCTTGAAAGGAATTGTGGGTTGCTAGGCTGTGGTGGGTACAGGGGTGGGTCTCGACCCATCTTCCGTGCCCCCACCTGGCTGCTCCCACCATGGCCCCTGATCCCCTCTCTGCCAGCAGCCCCACTCCCACTACTGCCGCTGCTCCCACACACTGACGGCGTGGAGTGATTGGGGCGAGCGGAGCCAGCGCTGTCAGTGGGTGTGAGCAGCAGCTGGAGCAGGGGGAGGTGGAGAATCCCTCAGGGGCAATTGGGGCTAGCAGTTGCCACTCGCACTTGCTGATGGTGCCAAGTGATCAGGGCCAGCGCCAGGCACCAGCAGAGGGTGTGAGTGGGGCTGGCACTGGCAGCAGGTGTGAGTGCTGGATGGAACCATGGCGTGTGGGGGCAAAGAATTTTCAGTAACCACCAGAGGCTCACCCCGATGACAGCAACCAGCGCCCCAATTCCACGTGTGTCCCCTGGTGCTCAGCACACATCATAGCGACTAGTTATTTGGTTGTTCCACCATTTGGTCTATTTGCATATTAGGGTTTTATATGTATATATAAAGGACACAGCAACATGTTAATACCACAGAGATGCAATCAGCAAAATACAGACTGGGAAACAGTACAGAATAAATTATCTGGTTTCTTCAAAACCAAACAAAAAATTGCAAGAAAAAAAGATGTGGCCAGATTTAAAAAACACACAAAAAAACTTAAGAGTACTTATCTGGGTAGCTCAGTTGATTAGAGCATTGTCCTGAAAAGCTAAGGCTGCAGCTCTGAACCCCAGTCAGGGCATGTAAAAGAATCATCAATGAATGCATAAATAAATGGAACAAATCAATGTTTCTTTCTCTCCTTCCTCTTTCTCACTAAAATCAATAAAAAAAAATTAAAAATAAACTTAAGGAGTTTTATTATCTAATTTTAATGCGCAGTCCCTAGGTGTATCCCAATTCAAATAAACAATTATAAAATAACTAGTGGCCCGGTTTGTGAATTCGTGCACATTGAAAGGAAAATGATTAAAAGAAATATTTTAATATCGCTATTTGCCCTTTCTCTATAGAAGTGTCAACCAAATTCATGGTCAACAATGACAGATGAAAACATACATGTGCAATTTGTGCCAGTGAGAGCTTTATATGTATCACGCATGCGTGAGTCAACTTAGCCTTTTATAGATATAGAATAAACTTGATTGGACCTGCTTTCTGATTTAGCTAAACTTTTTCCAGTCCAGTGAAGCACCCCAACCTCTCTTTCAGGTAATTTTCAGCAACACAGCAGTAAATATCAACACGGAGCATATTATTATTATTGTAGATCACACAGGGAGAACAAAGGATAAAATATTTAACTGTAGCAGTGTTTGACTATATTCTGCACAGTGAGAAAACGTGAAGTCATTTTCAAGGTCCACCATTTCTTACTTCTTTTCAGTCAGGTCAAGTTTCTAAGCTTTCTAAATCTCTGTTTTTCCGGCTAATGAAAAGAAAATAGGATTCCACCAAGTCTTCTATCTACCTACTCCAGGACTTCTGTGAGGATCAAATGAGATGAGGCATGTGAAAACACTTCAGACATTTGTTTAAAATGTAAAATGTTTCCACCTGGCTATAAAGCAAGTTGGGCTAAAGAAACTCCAAGGAGGCTAGTCACTAGGGAGAGGAA